TACTCATGCATGGATGCTTTATGGTCCAAAGATTGCTATTTCCCCCCCCAGAAATCCAGCAACTCTGTATGGTGGGAAGAGCATTGAAAGCAAGCTGATGAAACTCACAGCCAACGCCTCAGAGTCACATAGCTTATTGAGGGACGGTGGGGGGGGCAGAGTCACTCTCTCACTCTGGCTCAGGAAGATGGAGTTGTCCTGAGGAAACAGTGGGGGCAACCAGAGGGTAGACCCAGGAATTGCCTCTGAACTGCTGTAAAGGAAAGATGGGCTATAAGTATGAAAATACCAGTGCTGCTGCTACTGTTACCACTCATAACTGTGTACAAAGTCGTTCAACTTTTTGCCATGTCTTGTAGCATTTAAAAGCCTAACAAATTGTGCATCGCAGGCTACCATCAGGGTATATGATCAGAAGTGTGTTAGCTTTTAAGGTGCTAGAAGACGTTGTTATTTTTGGTGTAAAAGGCAAACATACCTCAACATGTGGGAACTGTTTGGGGGAAGGGGTATACAGTTACACAACATACTACACTGAGATTTGGTATTATGGCTTCAGTACATCATCCACACACAACCTTGGGGTATCATGATAGGCACAGAGCTCTTCTCTTTATTTCATCTAGTCATCTTATATTTTCCACTTGACTGTATTTTCCAAGGAACCATGAAAGCCTTGGAAAGTTTTTCAGGAACCCTCAGTAAAAACCACAACTATCTTGAAAGATAAGTTCCACCATTAGCGATCTTCCCTGGCTGCCACGGAGAAGTATTGGGTCATGAAGAACACATGAAGCTGCCTTGTACTGAATGAGACCATTGCTCAGTACTGTATACTGTGACTCCAGTGTTCTGTCAGTGTCCCAGCCAGAAACCTTTCCAAGTAGTATAATTTGAGATTCTGGAGACTGAAAGAGACAATCTTCTTTGGGCAAATCAATAGCTGTACCATCAATGCATCCAATAAAAAATATTGAGGAGGGGGTGGGGGAGGATAATAGAGGACGTATGAGGCCCCTTCCTACTGTATATACTCATATATAAGCCCATCCATAGATAAACTGAACCCAATTTTGGGGGTATATTTTGGAACCTAAAATTCTCAGCTTATCTGCAAGTATATATGGTATTTTAAATTAGTAGTTTTAAACATACTTTATTGTTGGTCCATCTAGTATCTTTGCATCTATTTCAGCTAGCAGGGGTTCTCCAGAGAATCAGGCAGCAACCATGGTCTTTCCAATTACCAGTTATCTGATACTTTTAAGATGCCATGGATTGATGAGACCATAGATGGTTTAGTATTCACTCTAGAACTACCTTTCCTACCCTGATACTCTTCAGGTGTATTAGGATTACAAGAAGGTCTAAGTCCCAAGACACTGCTGAGCACAAAAAGGTAGCCTTGAAACATTCTCCAGAAGTCTTTGCAAGTATGGATGGAAGTATAGTAAACAAATCTAAGAAGAAAAGATTCTTCAAATGGTCAGGGGCTGCCATTAAAGTATAGACTCAAATTTCTGATTTATACGATTCTATCTTGCCATAAATCTCATTCATGTTTCCAGCTTATCATTTGGATACAGGAACGAGATGATTGAGAAAAGGCAACAAGGTTCTCCCCCATCCCCAGTGGACACAGACCGTACTGTGAAACAACAGAGGAGCTCTCCCTTTTCAAAATATCACTGAGCCAGAGAACCTTCACTTTTATGTATACACATGTGTGCATGCATGTACACACATATTAAAAACAAGGTGTTTGCACCATCACTACCAACAAAAAAAGATTTGATTTAGTATTGCTCTCCAGAAAGTCAACCAATTATTTTTTTCATAATTCACTAACTTTTTCTTAATCTTACAATACATTTTTAAAAAGTGGGTACAGTAGAGACAAAGCAAGTAAAATCTGATCCCTCTTCCAATGTGCTAGTTTACATCATATACTGTAGGTGTTACCAGAAAACCTCTGCTTCACTTCATCTCATTTTCTGCTTTCTTTCTTGTCCATCAGTGGAAACTACCATTATGATAATCAAGGGGAGGGAGGTTTAAAATCAGACTAATCCTTCTGTATGCGTTCAGAAAAGCTAATGATTCTCTATTATGCCGAGATTACAATCATCTGTTGCTACTGAAGTTCCATTCATTGAGCTGTTCTTGTTATTTTCTTAACAGGAAGTAAACTGCAAACAAATGGAGATGGCTGGGGAGCCCCCCCCCCCATATCAAAAAGAAATGCAAAGGGAGTAGAACTTAAATATTTGGAGAAAAGCCTTTACAAAATGAGGTGAAGTCTACCTAACAAAATGTGAGTTTACACCAAGGATGTAACTGTCCTTAAATATTTCTTACTACCCCATTCAACCATGTAATGTGCATAATACATATCAAAACCTTCACTGTCTTAATAATAATCACTTGCCACACACCTGCAGCCACAGGCTTGTTATTCTGGAGTTGTCCCTGGATTTCATGTTAGGAGCATAGACTCAAGAGGCTTTCAGAAAATGCTTTTATTTGACATTTCAGAATACTATTTACTGTTGGGAATTCCTGTAGTGTATTTCACCATCTCTTCCTTCCTTTCTATTTTCATATGTACATAGACCAACAATCTATTTCACAGGGCAGTTGTAGAAAGAAAACAAGGGAAGACTCCCCATTCACGCCATCTTGGGCTCTCAGAGAAAAGGTGGGTTATAAATGCAAAGAGAGGGAGAGATGGAAGAGCTGCAGAGTGCCTTTTCAACAGGAGGGCTAGGAGCCTCCATAGAGATACCTCTGGAACATACTTCAATAAGTTGAACTATGAGTTCCGCACATAACAACATCTGTGGCTCAAGGGAGGAAGAGTCCTCCTGTAAAATCAGCCTGACTCCCCCATTAAAAGCATCTCCTTTTCCCAAAGGGCACTCCTTAATTCAGACACCCTAGAACTGAGTTGCATTTATTATCTCATTCCCCGTTGTCCTTTTAATATAATCCCCCCATCTTTATAACAGCACTCAGTTTTCAATCTAAAAAAAAAACAACCTTAGTTCACCCATACACCCTTTAAAGCTTTTTGCGGGGTGGGGGGTGGGTGGGAATCAGAAGTGCTATTGTGCTTCTCATACATATCCTTTGCCCCTGCCTTACTCTCTGGGAGGTGGTGAATGTTGATGCTTAATAGAGGGTGTTTTCAGCATCCTCTTCCTTTAATATTATTTTCATTCTGCTTTCAGCATTTTATTTTTGTTGCTCATATATTTTTTAGTATTAGTTTTACACTATCCAAAGAATGTCATTTACTGGACAACTAATGATGCAACATGTAAAAAAAATAAACAAATAGACAGATACATGAGGCAAAAAGAAACCCTATCTGAGATAGAGTTCTCCACCCTACTCCAAGCCATATTTTGTGGAAATAAAATGTGTTCTATTAAATGGAACTTTCAAAGCTGTCCTTAACATTGCAGCTTTGCTATAATAAAACACTGTGAATTGCCTCCCTCAACATGATGCACAAATGTCAAAATCTCCACTTGGGGAGAAGAACCCTGGGCTTTGCTTGACTGTGTGTAGGAACACTCTTAGACTCAATGCTAGCAGCTTTCATAGAAAGCTCTTGATTTGCTGCTTTCTTTGTGAGTGGGCAAATGGGATAAAAATAAAAGAAACTCACCAGGTTTTCTGGGGCAGGGAGGGTTTCCCCATTAAAATCTGAGAGATGCATCTTCATGTCTTGGTCTGCATCTCGTTCTTTTTCCAACTAGAATCTCTGCCCAGCTGCAGCTGTAGTCTTATTTCACCTCCTTCTCTTCCTCTCCACCTTCACTGTCTGTGTCTGCCTCAGCTTTGAAAAATGTGTGTGCATTTTTTTTCAAAGGGACTTCTCTCTCCCCCTTCATGTGTGTATATGTGATTGCGTCAAGCCCGTTGCTTAGATACCACAGTACTATTCCAGTTTGAGGCTTTTCACTCTAGAATTACTGTCTGTCTCTTCTCTCATTCATGCCAGTCAGTTAGCCCTGGATGCTACCTCCCACTAAGTCATCACCCTGAAAAGACCTGAAAAAGAAGATGCTTTGAACAAGGCTGGGTCCTAAACCCTGCCAGATTTCACTCTGCTTCCCACAAATAAAATTTCAGGTGTGAGAAGGCAGGAAAAGTTCTCCCTGGATAGTCTGCACATCCTCTGACACTATTTGGATAAATAGACAGACTGCTCTGTCACATTTGGATTTCCATGTCAAGGTTCAGTTCAACTCTTCCCTAGCCATACTCAAGAGTTATTTTGGTTTCTGAATGCTCTAGTTATATTTGTTTGATCTGCAATAGGTGGTTTTTTAATAGTTTTGAAACTGGAATGGCATTTGCACTTTTGGTGAAAGATATGCCTGAAAAAACATGGGCAGTTGTTTTCAGCAAGCTAAAATATAGGTTATCAGTCAGATTTTGCATGAAATGGCAGGCAATTCACTAACTGGCATTTTAGTCATCTATGTATATGCACCAATAGGGATCTTCACCTGAGGCAAGATATTAAGTCCTGGAAACCCTGAGGAAAGGTCTTGAAAAGTAACCACAGGGTCACAGAATGTTAAATTTAGGGAAGGGGCTTAGAGGTCATTGAGTCCAGATCTCTACTCAATACAAGATCTGCAGTACAAGATTCTACCACAATACCTTCTGCAACCCAGTGCTTGTATATGTCTTAGGTTGCTACCATCTTCAACCAAGCTGGATAATGTTCATGATGAATAGTGAAGGATGGGATTGGTACTACAGTAATCCAATATATCAGAGGATACCAACTTTGAACAAGTTGAACTATGGTGTTCCCAGCCAATGAGCATTCAGCCTCTGCTTAAAAGGGAAATCCCAGAGCCACCAAAGACAGTCTGTTCCACTGTCTAAGTCTGAAGTTTTTCTTATTGTTTAACAGAAATCTACTTCCTTGAGTTTTTTATTCCTTAGTCTTCTTTCTAGAACAACATAGAACAAGTTTCCTGCAGGACAGTCCTTTTGTTATGCTTCTTGTTAATCTCCTCTTCTCTGGGCTGAAACCTAGCAATGTAACACAAAAGATGTTAACAAGGCAAAAATGTGTTATCAAAAGGTCAAAAATGAGGGATATTAGAGAAGGTAATTTACCAGGACAGAGGCAAGGAGTTATTATTCCTGGTATGCATAGTATCTACAATTGAACATTTAAGAGTAACCCTCACAACTATTGGCGCAATCAGTTCCTACAACCATTAAGCCACATGAACTATATGAACAGGACCCAAATGCCTATCCCTGAACATCTCCTGTAGCAGATACTGAGAAAAATCCCTGACTGAAACCTCCAGGAGCTGTAATCAGCCAGAGAACTTGGCTTGATGGCCAGTAGTCTAACTCTTTATAATGTTATTTCATATGAAAACCAACAAACTGACTAGATGAGCCCAATTTTGAACAAAGCTGAGCTGTGACAAACTGAGTAGCTTTGTAAATCTTTTCCATTACGAGTCAGCCAATGGTCTCTTGAGTATGTTGACAATACATCTTTTGCACGTCAAACAGCCTAAATAAATTCCAGGAAATAAGCTAGATAGTTCAATTTGCAAGATCAGCTGATATATAGGAGGGATTTCTTCTATTTTGGTGCTGTATTTATGTGAGAGCATAACGTTCATGAAGCCACGAAACATAACACAAGCACTTCAGCAATTTATTTAGGAGTGACTTGACATGATTGGATGGCATTTAACATGGGAATTCAAAGGGTAAAAAGCATTTCAATTTGTCAGGATGTTCCATTTCTGACCTTTAGGTTGCTGTAGTTAGACACATTTTAAAAGGCAACTAAAGCAGGAGGTTGAAGGATTGGAATTTAAGAATGCCGACTGAGTTTCTCACGCTCCGAGGAAAGGGGGCGGGGATGCTCCACTGGAGAACATGATTGCCTTCCACTTGACGAGTATTGATGTTTACTGCTTCATCTGTGGCTTTGGGGCCTGGAGGACAACATCTGGAGCTGGCTGTGCTTCCACTGATACAATATACGCTCACAATGTGTAAAACTCTCAAGGTAACCATTTGCTCTGTGCCTGGCAGAGTGGCAGACTCAGTTGGCAAAGAACCAGGTAAGAACATCTGAGACAGGCACAATTAGCAACTCACTAGCACTCACCTGTAGGCAGGTATTCACCCAAAGGCTCTGAGTGAATTCATCTCAAATCATCCCTCTGATTTGTGTGCCTGAGTATCTTCAGTGGAAGCTGTTTTGCTAGAAATGTAGCAGCAAGAGAGAGGTGACACCCTACTTAGGAACATCCTCTCCATAGCTCATCTGGTGCTGATGTTACTATAGTCCAGTGTTTCTCAACCTTGGCAGCTTGAAGATGTGTGGACTTCAGCTCCTAGAATTCCCCAGCCACCAAGCTGACTGGGGAATTCTGGGATTTGAAGTCCACATATTTTGTCTGGGGAATTCTGAGAGTTGAAATCCACACACCTTAAAGTTGCTGAGATTGAGAAACACTGCTCTTGTCTGTTCCTCTGTTTGTTTTTTTGTGACTCTAAGATGTCATTTATGTTTTTATGTCTTGCATTTGTAACATGCCTTAATTTTTTCCCCTTTTCATGCCACCCTGTTTTTGTTAACATGAAGAGTGGCTTAAAAATACTTGACTGGGTAACTAATTGGGGGCTAGATGAGGAAGGGGCAGAAAAAAACAATCATCAGCATTTCATGCCTCTGACCAACGGCAGCTGCAAACAACGAAGCCAGCCTGGCCAAGCCAGCAGAACAAGGGGCAGCCTTATGAACCTGACAGTAAAAGGGACAGGACCAGTCCAGCAGTGCCAGGGGCAGTGCCAACACAACAGAAGAACCCCCCAAAACCCACCCACCCCCAACCCTGGCTAAAGAGACCAGAGCAGTACAGTAATCTCAACTCAGCAGCAGCCAGATGGACCAAGCAAGGGTCACAGTCTCTGCAGCAACAAGCCAGCAGTGCCAGTGACAGAAAGGGGCTCTGTAGAAACAGAAAAACTCAGAAGAGCCCAGTAGGAAGTAAAGTCAAAGAAAAGTTGGTTGGAAGCACCTGGGACTGGGGCAGGGAGGGAAAGGATTCAGTTCCTCCCCACTTCCAATGTTTGGGGTGTATGAGCAAGTTAGTGATGGTGGGAAGAAGGAAAGGGGAAGGGGAACTTTTTGGGAATGGCCACTGGTTGGCCTCTGATGACTGTCAGTGTTGTTGGGCTGGTGTTGCTGGTCTTTTCTGACTTTTGTGGCTCTGCCAAGCTTGTTTCTACCACTGGCATTGCTGGGTGTCAGGTTGCTGTTGCTGCAGGAGCTGCTAGAGTTGGCTGGTGCTTCTGGCTGCTGCTGGATTGGGGCTGCTCCATTGCTAGGCTTCTCTGCCGGGGATTGTGGAGGTTTGGTTGCTGGGCTGCTGCAATGGCCCCTGCCACTTTTTAGTCCTTTCCCTCTTTCCACCCTCTTCTGTGCACCCCTTCTTCCCTCCATGTTGCCTTCCTGAAGCCCCTCCTTGCACTCCCTCCTCTGCTCTCCTCTTTCTTACTCACCATCCCTCTCTCCAGCACTTTCTCAGGTTTCCTGGACTCTTCTCCACTGATGCTCCATATCATCATCAGTCCTCTGAGATATATAGAAATGGAAAAAGGGGTAAAAAGAAGTGGTGACCTAGAAGACACCAAAACAAAATACTCATTGGAATGGAGAAGAAGAAATACGGGCATTTTTCCAGTCGTGTTCCCTTCCTTCTGCAGGCACACCTAGCTGGATTACTGCATTCCCTTTATATAGAGCTGCTTTTGAAAACTGTTTGAAAAGAACATCTGCTGATTCAAAAAGTTACTGCCACACTGTTGACAGATGGCTTTATTTAGAACATATCACTCCATTGTTATTCAGTTGACATCCATTCTCATTCTTTAAGTCCAGCCCTACTTCCCCAACATGGTGACCTTCAGCTGCATTGGATTACATCCCCTAACATTTCCTGGTAGTGTCTGGGAGAAAGAAGAGTTGTAGTCTAGCATATCAGAATGAGACCAAGTGGGACAAGTTTCACAGATAAAGGTTGGGAACATGATCTTTCAATTGGACCTATCCACCTGTTAAGACTTTGTCTTGCTTCCCAAAATGGAACTTGCTTCTCTCAACTTTTGAGGGCAAAGTATATTTTCCTTACAGGTGAAACTTCTTTTGTTGGTTTATTTGTTTTGTATTTTACCACAACATAATTTCTTGCATAGAGCCAGGAACTCAGACAAAAATGATTTCTTGGATGCTCTCCCTGAAGAAAAAAGTAATTTCTGTGAGGGGAAGTGAGGAAAAAAGTAAATACTGAGCTATACAAAATAGAATTTGGCCTGGAAACATAAAAACAACTTATTCTAGTCTTTTGAGCTTTCTTCCTGGGGACACTTTGTTTTCCACTAAAGTAGCCACAGGTCTAAGATTAGCTCAAAGTGAGCTATCTAGTTGATTTGCTGGTCTTAGGGCTCTAGACAGCAGCAGCCCTCTCTCACTTTGTTATTCCGATGGTGTTGGCAGGAAACCACTAACAGAAGTCAACTGACAAAGCTGAGTTACTTTATTAGAGCACTTCTCTAGTTGCATGAGTTCTTATCAAGAAGAGCAAACTTCATTAGAAGAAGACCTGGTTTGTTTTTGCTTTTGGCAACTCTGGAGGATTTCTGGAATTTCATGAGATATGCTTTGAGCCACGCACAAGGAACTCTCAGGTGAGAAACTGAATTAAATGCTAACCATTGGCGCTGGTTATTCATTGGTACTGCATTTGAAGGCACTGAGTGTGATCCAAAGAACTGAGCATTGGAGAGAAGAGTCAGTTCAGCTCTTGATTTAGTATTCAGAAATCTGTTCAGGGGCTAAGCTTATGCCATTCACTTAAACTTAATTTCACATCTGTAAAGTGGGAATAATTTTAACAGATGTTAACAATAACTAGGGGAAACAGAAGAGAATATATGTAGCTCAGGGTTGAACTGTGGAGTCCTTGGGGTTCTCTAAGCTTGGTTGTTTTCTTGCAAACGTTTTGTTATCCAGCTAGGTAATATCTTCAGTGCTAGGACTAGCACTGAAGATGTTACCTAGCCTGGTAACAAAACATTTGCAACAAAACAACCAAGCTCAGAGAACCCCAAGGACTCCACAACTAGGGGAAAATATAGCTTCTAGCAGCCACATGTATCCAAAGCTATACTTATTGTTTCTCTTGTTCAACATGATTTGGCATTCTCAATTTTCATCAATTTTCTCTTTCTTCTGGTATTTTGTAAGTATGTGATCATGTGGAAGATTGTTTTTAGTGTATATTAGACTGCTCATTTTATGAAAATATACAGGATAAATTTGTATCTAAGAGTTATTTATAAAAAATATAATAAAGGCGGGATAAAAATCTAATAAATAAATAAATAAAATGTTGGGTAATGTACAGCCTGCATGTAACATCTGATGTCTGAATATTCCTCATATTTCATATCTGATGAATTGTTGGCAGTCACAGACAAATCTGGAGATGATCACAAACCTCAGCAATATATTGGTAATTTTAAAGGGTCACCTAAATATGATTGCTAGCAACCCCTTATATGTATTTTATACACAAAGAGACACATAGACACACACACACAAACACATACAGAGACACACACACATATATCATATTCAAAGTTTCATGAAAACAATTCATGAGTTTTTCTTTAATTGTGAAATCTCTCTGGCATTTTGGTCTGAATCTAAACAATTCACCAAATTTTGGACATTTGGCCTGATCTTTATAAATATAATGTTGCATTATTTACAGTCAGAACAAAATAAAATGAAAAGACTATATATAGTGGATTGCTCTGAAAAACTTAAATTTGTTTTAACAAAAATGAAGTTTAAGATATATTTACCAATAGAGGCAAATATGTGTAGCTCAGGGTTGAACTGTGGAGTTCTTGGGGTTCTCTGAGCTTGGTTGTTTTCTTGCAAACGTTTCATTACCTGGCTAGGTAACATCTTCAGAGCACTGAAGATATTACCTAGCCGGGTAATGAAATGTTTGCAAGAAAACAACCAAGCTCAGAGAACCCTAAGATATATTTAAATATTTGTTGGTGATTTAAACATTTAAGTTTAAAATATATTTATTTGAATTTTATTTGTGGGTGATTTATGATATTTTAAAGGCCTGGGGTTAAATTAATCAGATATTAAATCTCATGGGATGCTTACTAGGATATGATATGATGTTATATTATATTAAATATAATGACATTGAGCATTTTTATTATTCTTGTATTGAAAGCTCTATTAATTTGCTTGTCAAAAAAGTTGATGAAGTTTTAGAAGATGTTTTACATTGTATGCTGAAGAGATGATACTCTCTTGTTCATTGGATGGATTATTTAAAAAAAAACAGGGAGAGAAGTGCTACAGAATTAAGACTAGAATGTAATCCTTTCTCTAGAGGAGTTATGAATTATCTGGGCTACATTTTATTCTTGTGTGACTAAATGTTCATACATTCACCCTTTTCTTTTCTTTTTTTTAATGGATTTTTATTGAAGTTCCAAGTACATAATTAAAAGACAGAAGCAAAAAGGAAGTAGAGATACAACGTTAAGAAACACACAAATATGATAGATCAATAGAACAAAAAGAGTATAGAAAACAAATAACTTCCAATCTATCTCTAGCCTTGAAAACGTAAATTTATTCTAAATGCTAGTTTTTCATATAGTATATGAAAATAATTCTTTGTTTAATATGTCATTGCATTTATAATCTAGTCTTCGAATCTCCATGTAAGCTTTGGCCCTCCTGCATTTCGTAAATAATCCATCAATGGTTTCCACTCTTTGAGATAGTGACTGCTTACGTTTTCTTTCAATAGACAAGTCAGTTTATCGTTTTCTGCCATATCCATCAGTTATACATTCACCCTTTTCAATTCACCTGAGTGTTAGACCACATCATCCCCAAGTGTCCCATTTTCTCCACACCTTTGAAAATTGCTAATAATGCATATTAGACCTAAAGTGGTGATCCTATCTACTAAGTATTTATCCATAATTAAGTCCCTCTGAATTGATTGGGCTTGACTACATTGGTGCAGGCATTTATTGTTGATCTTTCTAGCCTGTTGAGTTTGCACAAGATGCTTTTCTGTATTGGCTATGGCAGATTGAGAAGACCTACTCACTAAAATTTATCCAACTTTGCAGCTGAGTATTTCTCTCTTTCTCCCTCTGCTTATGTCTTATTCTCCTTAAAATAAAATAATTCATAAATGGGAGTCCACTACTGACTTCCGTATTGCCCTGGCCTCCTCCCCTTATTTTTTCTACCTTTTTCATCCCATTCCAGCCTTCAAGTAGCAATAAAATGAAGGAGAAATAATAGATGCCTCTACTTCTCTTTATACATCCTTCTGAACAGCGGTGGATTGATCCCAGACGGAGACAGCCATTGAATAGAGAGCAGTGGCTGTGATGAGATAGTGATAGACCAGGTAAGGGGAAGGATCCCACTGAGGACCCTTGGACTCAGTCCTGACCTAGTGCTGTTGTTAGGAAGAGAAAATGAATTTGCTGAATTCATATTTTCATGAAACCTACTTTCCCACTCTCAGATCAGTTCATGAATTGAAACTTGGTAATCTTCTGAAAATTGGACTTCAGTTTTGAGATATAATTCTCCAATTAAAGGTATTTAGAGAAAAATCGGTACATAGCATTATGAATTTCTATGAAAGTAGCATGAAACAGTGCATTTATCTGAGAACAAATGCTGGCAGAAATGTGCTTACTGTTCAAAATTGCATACCCAATTTGGTGGACTAGGAGAAATGCACATAGAATAATGTGAACACCCTGTTGATTTTTGTTCAGACTTGTAGTATTAAGGGTAAGCTGTGAGAGGACCATGTTGATCAATAATACCAAATAATTTATGGTGGTTAAAGTAAAATGAGACCATAGAGAGATCATAAAGGATAACATTTTGCAAGCCTGGAAAAAAACAAAAAATGTGGAAAAAATAATATTTATCTTTTTGGTCATTTTTTGTTTTGTTTTATCAAAACAATGAAAAAAGAATTATAAAATGTTCCTAACATCTTCATTTTCAATTATTCATAAAATGATTAAGATGTGAAAGAAATTGATCGAAGTTTGTAACTATCACCATATAAAGTAGCATGGAAGAAAGGTAGAGCCATTTATTTCGAACAGGCAAAACTTCAGTGTTTAGACATTCATGATAATGATCAAGTGATGAAATTAAAGATCTTAAGAAGAACTGCTAACATTTCAGATGTAAAAAATGAATCCTATTAGAGAACATCTCATGGAACAAATGATATAGTGTAAACTGTCCACTCCACCAATCTTATTCTTTTGCTAGCTTTTTTCCTGAAATTATTTCTTTTTGTATCTGTCTGGTACAGTGGAGGTCAAAATCCTGAATCTATAACTCTCTTTGCTTTAACTCAAAGTTACTGGTTTTTTCTGTTCCCAGTATTAACTTTGTGCCTGCCTGCTTTTCTTAGAGCTCATCTTCACATCCCCTAACAATGGCATGAACATGCCCTAGTAACCATTCTGATATGACTTGTTTTCATGAAGTTGCCTTCAGCTCATTCTCAGCCGTCATGGAGGTAGCTTATCCTTTGACTATTATAATTTAAAGTAGTGCTTTCCCCCTTGTCCCAACATAATTTTTGCCATGGACAAAATCTAGGATGCTTCATCAACAATGTAGTTGATATTGTTGGGGTTGGGATCTCCCCAGCTGCTATTGGCCACCTGCTGTGATTTTTTAAAAAAAGTAAATTAATACAGTTAATATAATAATTCAGTGCATGTATTAATTCCCTTCTTCTGGAACATTAAGAATTGCAGTTCCACGGCACATAGCAAAAGATTTCATGGAGTTGTGTGCCTCTGTTTTAAAAGGAGATGCAGACAACAAACTCCACTGATCAGAAGTGAGGAATAAATCACGGATCTTCAGACAGCTCATAGCCTCTCTTCGCTCCTTGGCCAGACAGTCTCAATTTGATAATGATTATTGTTGCAAATAGATGTGAAGTCATACAAAGAGTTGATTGCCCACTACCAGTGAGATGGAGTAACTGCCTCTGAAAATTGTGGTGGTTGAAATGCATAGTTAATGCGTGGGATGGTGTGAAAAAGAACCAGACTCTTGAAGTAGTGGTTGTTGTCTGTCTGTTGGTTTATCTATAGTTTTATGTGACCCATCCCAAGATGGA